CCATGCCCCCCCCCCCCCCCCACCACCACCACCCACCCACCCACCCACACACACTTTTTGCACAGTTACCAGATACCAAAGGCAAGTGGTCCCACAATTTTCCTGCCTCGATTATCGACCGCCACCATACCGGAAGAGTTGGTTGGAACCCTCGCCGTGAGCGCCTTGCAGCGACTCCGGCACGCTGGACATGTCGCAGGGAGACAAGGCGCGCGCGCTGGTGGAAAAGGCTGAGAAGAAGCTGGCCTCCTGGTCGCTCTTCGGAGGTGGGAGTAAGTACGAGGACGCGGCGGAGATGTACACAAAGGCGGCCAACCTCTTCAAAGTTTCCAAGTGCTGTGAGCGGCTCTGCCGCACCCACGCATTGGCACCGACACGTGGGTTGCTTAGCCTCACATCTTCCTCTCACAGGGAACGACGCGGGCGCTTGCTTTGAAAAGACGGCGCAGTGCGCCCTCAAGAGCGACAGTCCGCACGAGGCGGCGACCGCCCACACTGACGCCGCCAACTGCTACAAGAAGACGGACGCGAAGGGCGCGCCTCCAACTGTCCACACATCCGCTCCATTAATTTATCCATGCCGTGCTGCGCACCCAGACTCACGGCGCCTCCCTCGCCGCGCCGCAGCCGCCATTGAGCAGTACAAGGAGGCAATCGGGATTCACATCGACCTCGGCCGGTGGTCCCCCCTCCCCCCCCCAACCCCGCCCCCTCACAACTGGCGCCCGCTGCCGGCGCACGCTCCTGCAGGCCGGCCGCTCAACGCCGTGCACTGCCCTGGTACTGCCCACCCTCCTCCCACCCTTTGCCCGCCGCAGCTTCCCGACTGCGGCCAAGCTGCAAAAGGAGATTGCGGAGCTGCACGAGGGGGAAGGCAACCTACCTTTGGCCATGGAGGCGCGAAGCACACCCGTGGGGACTCCCTCCCTCCTCCCTGCTTCGCGGCGACGCTTCTCCCCGCCGGAAAAGCGCAGGCCTTCCAGACCGCCGCAGACTACTACCAGGGCGAAGAGAACACGGCGCAGGGCAACCAGTGCCTCCTGCGCGTCGCAGGGCGCCCCCCCCCTTTTTTTTTCCCCTTTTTCTTTTCTTTTTCCTTTTTTCCTCTCTTTTCTCTCCCTCCTCTCTCTTCCCCTCCCTCCTCTCCCCTCCCTCCTTCTCCTTCTCTTTCTTTCCCCTCCTTTCTTCCCTCTTTTTAGTTCTCTTCTCCTCCCTTCCTTTCTTCTCTTCCTTTCTTTCTCCTCCCTTCTTCTTTTTCTCTTTCCCTTCTTCT